GAGCGGAAGCCCGGGGTTGACGAAGGAGACCCCCTGACCGCGGCTCCGTCTGTTCCCCCCTTGCGTCAATGGCTTTCTTATTGAGCCGGACAAAACAGGCCATTGTGCTGGCCGGCCGGGCCGGGCCGGTGGGTTGTTGTGGTCCGTTCGCACAGGGGAGCGAAAGAAAAGGAGGAAAAGAAAGAGCACCATCCGGCCTGGGAAGCCTGAGAAGAAAAGCAGGCGATTCCTCCCAGCAGCCTGTGTGGCGGTGAAATTGCTCCGTGGGACGTCTGTGAAATCATGGAGGGGGGGGGGACGACTCAGGGTAACCTGACTCCTCCGTGGGACAGAACCGCCTGGCCTGTGCAGAAAGAACAAAGACCCATTGAGCGCCCGGGGTGAGGTAACCGCTAGTTCGGGCCGGGACACAGTGACTGACCCCCGCGGTCCTGTCCCAACCGGCGCCCCGCGGCCCCGTTTCAGACACGCCGTGGGCGAGGAAGAGCCTGCCGTAGACGGCTGTCTTGTGCTACTGTCCTCTGCTTACTGCGTGTCTGCTCATGTTAAGCTGCCCTACGAATTGTCCAGGAAAACCTGCTGGAAATTCTCAGCGAAGAACTGACTTCCGGGCTGCTTGCCTACGTAGGACGAGGTGTGAAGTCTTCGACCAATTCAAATTACTGGTAGAATATCAGAAAGAACAGGAAAACCAGCTGGATCATTCTGGCAGGCACTGTGTACGTAAGCTCCTGTTTTAAACGGGTGCTTCGGTGGCGATTTGTGTGACGGTGGGTTTTGATCGATCACGGGCCCCAGTGTGCGGAGGACGTATTCCGGGACAGAGAAGACGGAGAGTTCCTGCCACCCAGTCCGGTGTGGACTCCGGTTGTGAGAGATCTGTGCTGGACGCACAGACGCGTTCTCGTACCCCTGCGCTGTCCACCTGGCTCTCAGGTCCTCACAGTGCCCAGTCAGGACACCTGGGGAGGCTGGGGTCTCTGCAGCAGCTCTGCTTATTAAACACAGACTCAGCCCAGTGGGTATCACTTCTGAAAAGTCCGGCAAGTCTTGGCTTTGGTGGCGGCTGCGATGGTCCTAGCACGCGGATATTTTAAACCCGTCTGGCTCTTGGCTGCGTTTCCAGAGCAGGAAGGGTTAATGTGCGAGGGTGACTGGGAGATATATCACTAACGGGGAGGGCGTGACTCCCCCCTTCAATTCAATTAAATATTTGCCAGCAATACCGACGTCTGGACCCACGACCGAGAAAGCAGGGGGTGGGGGGTTTCATCTTAAACAATTATCGTGCGCGGTAGTTGAGGGTCCTGATCAGAAATTGGGCGTGATTAAAAACACCCGAAATATGGGCGAATTTATTTTTAGTCCCACGGACCATCAAAAAGTGCCGGGATGCGAAAAGGAAAACGTCGGGGCTCCCAGTGGGAGCTCTGCTCCCTCTTCCTGATGACAGACACTCGGCTCGCGCTGGGGCACCTGGGCCGTCCAGTCCGCTCTCCGGCGGCCGGCACGCCAGCCTGAGTCGTGTTCGCACACTGGGCGGCCCTGCCCGGCCCTGCCCAGCCCAGCCCTGCCCTGCCCGCTGGGGTCAATATTAACAGCGCGCCACAGAGAGGGCTTTGTTCTCCAGAGGGACGTCTCGCTCCGGCGCTGAACAGAGCACTGCTGTGGATCAACCAGACTAAATATAGGAAGCTGTTGATCTGCTGTCCATCTGCTCCTTTTCTCTCCGAAAAGATGAAGCCAGTTTTCTCCTCAGTCTGCTGGTCCGGGGAGCTGCTGGAGTTTCTCGCAACTCCCTTGAATGAGCTCTGAGTGGCTCTGCACACTTTACAGCTGAGCTGAGCTGCGCTCTTGTGTGTGTGTGAGAGAG